CATGTTTAGATGTAACATATATATTCAAAGTAATTCAGTAGTAGCAAACTTGGATAAACACAGTAACTCTCTTTTCCGTTGCTGAGTTTTCTCTGTCTTCTCTCATATATAGATTTCTTGTGCTTCAAAATATTTTCATTTATAATAATAATACATTACGATATTTCAAATTTACATAAATATTTACAAAGTAGTGATCTATGTCTTTCGACAGTTTTTGTTGGTTCACTTGGGTAAATACACAAACCAAACAGAATCCAAAAGCCGACCACAACACGTCAACACAAGAGCCATCAAAGGCTCTTTTGTCAAGCCATATAGCTTGGAAAGAAGCTTTATTTACAGTTTCTTCAGCAAATATTCCCGAAGAAGAGCATAGCTTTAGATAATATATATAAGAGCAGTGGCTATGTCTGCGACCACAAGAGATCGATCTATTTACAGAGTTCGTGACTTTGCCCTTATGACAAATAATCTTATTCAGGACGGAAGTTGACTAGGTGTGGCAGATCAGTCGCCTGTAGCTTCCTGATGTCGTTAGCAGAGAGCTTGCAGGACTCCAAGGTCAGAGATCTCAGGTTCTTCAATGGCTTCAGGTGACGTAGTCCTGAGGTTGATACTCGAGAGTTTGAGACGTTTAGAGAGACCAATCCTGTCAACCCTGCGGGTCAATGAGATCATGCATGGTTCAGATTTCAGATGCATATGATTTGTCTGATGAATTTAAGAACTGTATCCTTACCGGAAATCAACTCCAGTGTTCTGTCTGTGAGATTGGAGTTTTGTGATAAATTGAGGAGAGTCAGGGATGAAAGATCTTTTATGTTCTTGACACCAGCATCGGTTAATCCACCACCACATATTTCAAGTGACTGCAGCTTCTTCAGGTCTGTATCAAACCATGAAAAATGTATATGAGGCAGATCTCAAACGATGGAATAGATAATAAACATTATAAACTTACTTCGTAGATGATTTGTTCCAGAATCTGTGATACGAGCACCAAAGAGATCGAGATGAGTCAACCCAGTCAAACCTAAAAACAAAACAGACAGGTTGGATTTTACTCAGGGGAACCAGTGCCCACAACATACAAAGGCAAATAACTTGTTGGACAGTCAGTTTATGGACGCACTGAAATGACTTACTTGTGAGTGCGGAAAGACCAGCATCAGTAACATGACGAGCATCCAGATTCAGTGTACGAAGAGATGTCAAACCAGATAATTTCCTTAAACCGCTGTCGGTTACAACAGTGAATGACAAGTTTATGCTCTCTAGGTTTGACAGGCCTATATATAGTAATATAAATGCGCTAATCAACTAACATATTGGGTATATCTGCAGTGAGCATAAAACCAAATGCCAAGGAAAACATGTTTTACCAGATATATGGTGAAGCCCATTGCTTCCTACTTCGGTATCGGACAACTCAAGAGATTTCAACCCAAGCATACCTAAAACCACATGACCATCTATGAATACTGGATAATTCGTGATTAGATAAAAAACGGAAGTAGCAATCACCTGATAAATGCACCAGTCCTTCATCACCAATTCTACAAGAATCCAAGTTTAAGCTCTCCAACCTAGTCAACCCTGAGAAGGTAATTTATCATGATTAAAACTTAAGCAGACAACACGAAATGGTAAAGAGAGACTGAACCAACAAAATAGTGAAAATAAGACATGTAAGAAAGTGAGACAACCTTTCAGGTGGACCAAGCATGAATTTGTAATGTTGTTCATGCCCAAGTTTAATATCTTCAAATGAATTAACTCTACAATGAAGCGTGAAACAAATTATCCCAGAGGTTGACGAGTTTTTCGCAAAGTAAAACAACCATTATAATTGCACGGATATCAGGTAACACTCACCTGAAAACTTTTCACACCCGCTGTCTGAAAAATTACATCTATTGAGGTTCAAAAACATCAATTCTCTAAGAGCTACATAAAACAAAAGTAACATGACTCGTGTGAATTCAAATGGCAAATATTCATCAGATGTATATAGTCCATAACAAAACATACATCCAATTGGCTGGAGTACCGAAGAGACAACAAAGTTTGGATACAATAATAAGGCTGGCTTTTCTAACCTGCGAGTGTGCCCAAGCATGCAGCAGTAACATGACGGCATCCCTCAAAGTTCAGTAAGTTAAGCTTGTTTAGCCCTGAAGCAAGCAAGTGGGAGAAATGAATCGAGCTGAGTGTACATCAATAAGATATGAGACAAATGGTGAAAAAATGGAGTATGATAATCAAAAATCCGACCTTCAAGATAGCTGATACCAAAATCGGTAATCCTACTGCAGCAGATCTGTAAGCTCCTCAAATTTGAAAGTTCTGAAGCAAAGAGGGTAAGCACTACAGGGAAAAGTTAATAAAATATGTGAACAATAGACGCATGTTTTTGTTACCTGAGAGAGGCTCCATGTCTGAATCCGTAATGCAGTTGCACCACTTTATGTTCAAGGACTCTAGTTTGGTTAAACCTGGAAAGAAAGATGTTAAATAGGATGAAGAAAAGACATTTCTTAATCAGGTGGAAAAATAGGATGCAGAATTGATATTAGAGTTTTCCAAGTAAAACGCCACTCAATACCCAAATCTCTATATGCTTCAGGTGTAGAAAATCATAACTTACATGGCTTTGGGTCGATTCTTAAGTGTGCACATATAATATAGAACTCTCAATAACAGAGATGTCAGAAAACTTGAGAAAACACGATAGCTATGTACCTTGCAGGTGGACGAGCCCACCATGAATCCCGGGACACTTCTCAAGATCTAATTTCTTCATGTTAACCAAGTTGGAAAAGGCACGCATGCCTTGTGCAGTGATTGCAGCATTTCTTCTGAAGCTCAGGCTTGTCAAATTTGAGAGACCTGAAATTGTTTGTAAAAAGTTTTTCATTCGAGTGGGAACAAAAAATCTACCAAACAAATGAAAGTAAGTGTATCAGGTCTAGCTGTAATGTAGTAGCTACGCTTAGGAAACATCCACATAAAAAGTACAAGGAACGTTTCGGTAAGCAGAAAAAATAACAGAAATGTGTGAAAAGGAGGGAAGCTTACCGCTGAGATGCTGAAGGCCATGGTTTGATATCTGGTCACAGAAATTAAAGTTTAAGGATTCTAGGTTGTTGCAAGGTTTTAAAGAAACCAGCCCAGAGTCTGTGACATCAGACCCCGAAAAATCAACAGAAAGCAACGATGTACTTTGTGAGGAGATGACATCCATCCAGTCATCATTAACTCCAGGGTATTCTCCCAAGTAAAGATCCTATTTTTGACAAATTGTGAGTCAGTCAACACGAAGGGGGATTAGTAACAAGTAAGAGAAACACCAAGGAGGACTTCACCTGGATTGCACAGTCCCGAAATGCCTCAAGAGACTTTAAAGATAAGCGCTGGGAAAACACCAATTCATCGAAAATCTGCTGACTGATATCCCTTGGTAGGTCAGAGAACTTGGTGTATCTATCAATGTCCTGAAATGCAACAAAGTTAAAGCATTTGGTTGCTGGCGTTTGTTTATAGATTAACTAACTAGAAGCTAAGTGGAAACAGTATAAACCTGCTGTATATTGCGGAGACAGAGCTCCATAAGCGAAGGGCATTCTCCATTGTTCCGTTTAGCATCGGAGGCGGACCTGGAGAGCGAAGTAGCCAACCATTTCGAACTTGAACTCTTGCAATATTTGCCAGAGACACCTCTGTTTAAAATATCTTCAACTTGCTGATCTCTCTTCCTTGAGCAAGCTCCTCCCATGATGATGTAATCCAGAATCATAAAATATTCTTTAGAGGCTGAAACAGAGCACGATCACAACGGAAACAAGCACAAAGAAAAAAAGAGAAGTGTGAATCAACACTAGCTTTTTAGAATCCCAGCAGCAAAACCACAGAAACCCAAAGTAGAACATAATTCGAATAAACAAAAAAAGGATAAGCTTTGGAAGGTTATAGTGTGGAAAAACAGAAAAAGGAAGCAAAATAAAGCAACTGTGTTCAATTCAACAGGAAACAGTTTGTACTTAGTTGATCGAATAAGCCGATACGTACCTAATCATCATCACGACGATCGATCGATGAAAGACTATTTCTTCTGAGAAAATTTTGTTGTTGTGGGGGGTTAAGAGTGATTGATCTCTCTTATCTCTCTTTGATCAAAGCTATTGTTGTTGTTTGTTGAATTTGACGAGACGGTGAGGAAGAAGAGGAAAGGAAAGAGAGAGGAGAGGAGTATAGAAATGTGCAAAGTGGCCGTGAGCCGAGCCTGATTCTAAACCTACTATCGGCTGACACGTGTAAGGTGAATCACCCTTTAGTGTGGTTCGGAATTCAGGTTCGGAGCGTTTTTTTTAGATAAGATGGAAGAATAAAGAATGCCAAGGGTCCCACTTCTATAGTGAACCCCGCTTGTTTAGATTTTTCAGTCGATTTTTTGTTTATTTTGTATTTTGGATGTCATGATGATGCAGATATATGTGTTCTTTGTTTTTAATTCGAATACAAAAACAAAAAAAATCATCTCAGAAAATCAATTAACAATTTATAAACGTATTTGATGGTTCTTGTTATCGAAACAATCATCAATACAGTTGCTATTTTTAAATATAAATAAAAAACTAAAATTCTCAAAACTGATGTCAGAAATTATCGCCATAGAATCATTTATATTTTGTTCTCTAGTATAAACTACTAGATTTTTAAGGATTATTATGCTCTTCTTCAAGTTTTGCACCTAATTTGTTTTAATCCACGCAACCAAATGATTGTATTCTGATAAAATAAATGTGTTTAACCCAATAAAATTTGCATACAGTAAAATTTTTCCTAACTTCCTACCAATTCGAAATAAATAAATAATATGATGTTTTTTTAATACTGAACTGAAGTACCATTGGATTGATCCAGCAATAAAATAAAAAATAAAAAATGTAAGAAAAAAAGCGCGTAAATTCACAAGTCACACGAAACCAGTGTCTGGTCTTAATTATCTGTGTAGAAATCTCTTCACTTCACTGGATATAGCTTAAACCCTAATAACACCGTAATGGCGACGCTCCTGAGACTCGACATAGCCACCTCTCCACTTGCTTTCACCACTCCCCGAGCCATTACCTCGTTCAAATATCGGTTACCTTCTGCTAGTCGCAGGATAGCCACAGTTTCCGTCAGAACGAACCCTCCGCTGTTTTATTCCGCGGCGCTTTACTCTGACATCCGTCGGAGATTCCACTCCTCTGTTGCCTCTGATTCCTCCCTCGCTTTTTTGGATACCGATGATTTCCTCGATGTTGCCACTGATAATTCACCCGACAATCGAATCCCGGCTACTATAATCACCGGGTTCCTGGGTTCTGGTAAGGTGAGGCTACGCTAGGCTTCTTGTTTAATTTCAAAATCCATGCTTCATTATCTGCAAATCTTTCCACTTTTCAGTGAGCAAATGCTGATTTTCGTGGGTTTTCTTTTTGCCTTTTTGAGTGTATAGACGACATTGCTAAACCATATATTGACGGGAGGTCATGGGAAGCGCATAGCCGTGATCGAGAATGAGGTATTGTGTCTTAGAAGTTGAATAAAGATTGGTTTTTTTTTTTTTTTGAGTTTATGATTTCTAAGTCGTGGCTGAAAATGTGAATTCTCAGTTTGGTGAAGTGGACATTGATGGATCGCTTGTGGCAGCTAAAACTGCTGGAGCAGAGGATATAATGTTGCTTAACAATGGTTGTCTCTGTTGTACTGTTAGGGGTGATCTTGTGAGGATGATCTCTGAATTGGTCAAGACGAAGAAAGGAAGATTCGACCATATAGTAATTGAGACTACAGGTTTGAAAGTATTTTCAATCTCTCGATCTACATGATCCTCTAAAACAATATGGTGGGGACCGAGTGATGAATTTATATTTTGTATGTTATCTTCTCAGGATTGGCGAATCCAGCCCCGATTATCCAAACTTTTTATGCTGAGGATGAAATTTTCAATGATGTCAAACTGGATGGAGTTGTCACTCTGGTTGATGCTAAACATGCTCGTTTGCATCTAGATGAAGTTAAACCCGAAGGCTATGTCAATGAGGCCGTTGAACAAATAGCTTACGCAGATCGTATCATAGTTAACAAGGTATTGTGAAGTTCTGTTTTGACCAGATTTTTCCGATTAGCACTACCTTCAGAAATTGTATTTGAAATGTATGGTGGATGCTTGTAGTATAAACTTCTCTACTGTTTCCTATGTATGGTTCTACCTTTACATATCATTCAAGCTGACAAATGTTTGTACTTTGTTGCAGACTGATCTTGTTGGTGAGCCAGAACTAGCTTCAGTGATGCAGCGGATTAAGGTAGGTAGTTCTGCTTCTTCTGATTATTTTTTTCTCCTTCAACATCTATCTATTCTCTTCGTTCTGCGTTAACATTTATGATGTGGTTATTTCCAGGCCATAAACAGCATGGCTCACATGAAGCGGACAAAATATGGGAAGGTGGACTTGGATTATGTTCTTGGAATTGGAGGGTTCGATCTAGAAAGGTCCGGTTTTACTCTTGGTCTTGCTAATATCTTATTACAAGTCATTCTGAAAACTTATGTCCGAGGTGTATAGTAGCTCTATGCATTTGTTATGATTTATTGTGGTTTAATTCTGGTTTATTGCTAGTGGCTAAGTGTTTTGTCTTTCCAGAATTGAGAGCTCTGTGAATGAAGAAGTGAAGGAAAATCACGAGGGACATGATGATCATCACCATGACCATGACTGCCATGATCACCACAGTGAGCATGATCATGAACACGGTATGTTATAGAGTTACCAAAGAATGGTCTTATTACTAAATAGTGAATCATGATCGCCTACATGCGCTGATTAATTTGCTTCTAAAGTCGCAGAACATCACCATTCTCATGATCACACCCATGACCCTGGTGTCGCTTCAGTCAGTTTAGTCTGCGAAGGAGACTTGGACCTTGAGAAGGTATAACCCAATATGGCTGAAGTTGTGGAATATGTGATACATTAAACCGTAGCACCAGAAGTCTTAAATTTCAATGCGTGATTGATTACCTGCATCATCTATAACCTTAGTTTTGACAATGGATCAGGCTAACATGTGGCTTGGGGCGCTATTGTACCAACGTAGTGAGGATATATACAGAATGAAAGGTATCCTCTCCGTCCAAGACATGGACGAAAGATTCGTGTTTCAGGTGACCATCTTTTATCATTGTTTTGATCATCATTTCAACTGAATCGTTTTGAGTATAGAAGTCTTTTGATGTAGAATTCTATCTGACATTTGTGGGTTTCTAATGGTTGGGACAGGGAGTTCATGAAATATTTGAAGGATCACCAGACCGGCTATGGAGAAAAGATGAAACAAGAACCAACAAGATTGTTTTCATTGGCAAGAATTTGAACCGGGAGGAGTTAGAGATGGGTTTCAGAGCTTGCTTGATTTAATTATAGGAGACAATATTTAAAACATTACATTTGGTATCAGTTGATCAATGGAGACTTTTGAACAAGCAATACCGTCTAAAGTTTGGACACTAACTACAAAAGGCTCAGTCAAGAACATATTCACCATACAAGAAACTCCACAAGAACTCAAAAACCAAACAGTTCCAAAAACATCCCTAAGCGACCTGGCAAGATTCCTACTACTGCCGACCAAATAAATTCCTCCATTTATCCTTCAAATCCACCTCAGTCCTATCAGCTAAAACAACAGGGTTTGAATTCTTGATATCTTTCCATGATTTTCCGTACTCTTTCACTCCTTCCCTCAAAGCTTCCACTTCTTCAGGAGTCCAGAATTTCATGAGCCTTCTGGGACGCGGTCTTTCCAATCTAACTTTCTTCAAGGGTGATACATTAAGAGGTTCCGGGGTTGGTAGATGAGGCCTGACTCTTCTAGACGATGATGTTCCCTCACTATCTTCTGCTTCAGTCCTATTTTCCCCATCATGCTGAGGAGTGACGTTCGCTGACTGGTCCATTGCATTGCCAGGTTCTTTCTCTTGCATAGTGGAAAGGTCTGTGAGTCTTTGAATCTCTAGCAAAACATCCTTAAGCTCTCGAGCTACTGTTACGTCCCCCTTACTAACACTTGGCTCATGTTCGTGTTCTTGATCAGTCACCTTATCAACCCTATCAGGATTCTCCACCCATCCCACTTCTTCAACATCATTAGCATTCTCTCTATAGCTTCCATTTCTGGCCTCCCTCCCAGTTTCGAGCTCCTCATTGGTGTTATCAATGGTGTCCCCTGCTCTACCAAAATGATAACAACCTCTTTGCCGGGAAGCAGATGGTGGATCCTTGCACTTAAGTAACCTCTTTCGAGCTTCCGATTCAAGAGAGGAACACCCAAGTAGTGCCCACTGCTCTTTAAGAAGCTGAGTTAGACGAGAAATGGCATTGTACCTGATGTTAGTCTCACGAATCTTCTTGTAAATCTCAGGTTCCTCAAATGCCTTGTTCAGGTCACTCTCCCATTTCAACAACTCGCGACTCACCAAATCGCTCTCCCTCTCCTTCAACATCCCAATCCGCTTCTTCCAAATCCTCTCGAGGGCATCGCCAAAAAAGCCATCCGAAGCAGTCATCGGCCACATGAACCTAAGCGAGCACTCCGCAGCCGTCCAGCAATACGCAGATCTGAGAGACTCCATGATTACAGAATGTTCCTGCAACAGAAGCTTCTCAAGAAGCTCGAGGAGGTCAAGCATTCCTTCGTCGACCGTACCTCGATTCAAGGAATTGGAGATGTCCCGCAACACGGCAGTTATCTTGAACTTTACACAGTCGTCTGAATCTACTGGTTTCAGAGCCGATAACAGAGAAGGAGCATAAACCCTAGGGTTTTGTTGTCGACGGAGGAAGAATTCGGCTACCCACTTCTCCATCACTTCCGTTTCTGATACGCCAAAAAAAAAAAACCCCGCGATCAATGTTTCATCATTTCTATAGATTTAAGGTTGCAATTTTGGGAAGACAAAAAGCTCCGACAAGCGATGGTGGTGGCATTGATAACATAACTTCTATTTCAAAGTTCAAATTTGTATTTTTCTTTTCATTATGACGAGACATTCAAGCGGCCCATCGGGCCATAACAGTGATAAGGCTTTCAATTAAAATACAGTGTTTGAGCTATCCAATGTCGATCGGTTACAGTTTTCAGAACGTGCGGATTCAAAAATATGGTCGGAGAAAGCGACGGTTTTTCAGTATTTGTATCCGGCGACCGGAGGGTTTAAGCATTTCAATACACACATGATTGAGAGGAACTTACCTTAGACAGGTAGATAAGTTCATTAATGCATTAGTTTGAAAATTAAAGCCAACATACATACAAACGATATGAACACATCAAAAACCGCATTCTTTATTCTCACTCAGGATTTTTCCAAAACGTCATAACTTTTTTATTCCGAATCTAAAAAACATAATCCAATCCAACCCTACACAAAATGTGATATTTCAAGATGGTGATGATGATGATATATCTTTGATCTGAACCACAGCACCATCGTTGAGCAATTTCTGCTCTGTTTTCTTTGGGGACTGAACCTCCCCACCAAACATTTGCTTCCTGTACTGCTGATGCAATCTCCCAAACAGCTCCTTCTTGACGGATTCAAACGCCATATCCAATCTCTCTAACTGTTCAAGAGCATTCGGGTTATACATAAACAAACCGTAGAAAAGCTCAAAGCTGTCACTGGATGTGTTCTCCACCAAATCCAGCAACGTCTCGTAACCTTTAGTGTTAATCGGCGAAGATTCAACTCCGTATTTCTCCAAAACCCTTCCCATAGTATGCGTCACGAATTGTGATCCAGCTGCGTAATAGTCATGCTTCTCACAGCTCATCTCTACCATCTTACAACCTTCATTCTCAAAAACTCTTAGAAACTTGTCACACCTCTCGTGTCTAGAAGCTTCGTCTCCGATTCTCACCTTATCATAGACAAAAGGCAAGTTAGACCATGAATGCTTACCACTCTCGGGTCCAAACATTGGGTGAGTACAGAGGATGTCGAACTCCTTGGGAAGGTATTTGAGGAAGAGGGCTTTCGGGAACTCTTTGACGGAGAGCACATCCACGAAGAGCGTGCTACGACGGAGACGTTGGAAAGGGAAAGTTCTGAGGACTGATTCTGTGGACAGGATTGAGGTACAGAGGAGTACAACGTCAGGATGTTGCTCGCAGAGGTCGTGAGGGTTATTGAAGAAACGAGCTCCGATTGAGGAAGCAGCGTCGGAGTAATCGGAGCGAGAGTGAGTGATAAGGTCGTGACCTTGTCGAATTAGGGTTTTAGAGAGGAATTGACCGAAATTGCCGAAACCCAAGACGGCGATTTTGAGAGCAGAGGATTTACGGTACTCGGATTTAAGTTGAGTTTCGTAATCGAAGATCTGGGCAGCGTCGATGGCTCGAATTCGAAGGGATCTCGGCGGAGAAATGAGGAATGCGGGCGAATTGCGGCGGAGATTAGGTGGAGAAAAGAGGGGTTTCGCCGGACAGAAATGGAGTAACATCGTGCTAGTGAACTAACAGTGATATTGGGTTTATGGTAAAGCCCCGGACTTCTGGAGCTGAAGGCCTGAGAGCCTGAGAGAGTAGAAGAGGGAGCAGAGGAGAAGCGAGAGAGAGGAGGAAGAAGATGCGCGAGCCTCCAAATAAGAGGATCAGAGGATCTGAATAAATGTCGTGAGTGACCAAAACGTGGTGGTGATGCTAATCAAAATACACAACAATTACAAGGACCATAAAGGAAATTACTTGAGGTCAAATTACACGATTCTTTTGCTTACGGCCGCCGGCTGACTTCTTCTTTACTTGTCTGCAATTTTCATTTTTCTTAGCTACTTTAAGTCAGTTTTTATATTTTGCTATAAATGTGAGATTTTTATTTGTTGCCGATAGTAATCATTTTATTGTTTAATTATTTGTAATCTTACCGAAATTGATTAGTAGAACTTCATTTTTTATAATTTGGTTTCACTCTTTTACGCTTAAGATAACACAATTGGTACAATTATTTGTACTCTTTTATTGATACTTTCCTCGTAATTAATAGGAAACCTCTAATTTTGTAGAAATTTAATATAATAACCCCTAATAAACACTATAATTAGAGAAAACCACTTAAATTATCTTCTTAGCTCATTTCTCCACGGAAGGATGAAATCTTAAACCTCGCAAGTTCAGAGGCTAGTTTTTTTTAACTCTTCTTCCCCAAACGATAATGACAGGTTCGATCTCGACCTCTTGGCTCTTGTTGTCTCCTTCGAATTCTAAATCGCTTTCGGGCTCAGACTCTTGCTCTTTCCTAGCCACCTTCAAACCATTTCGTTATTATCCGTTTCAATCACTGAGCCCAAATCGGCTTTCGTCAAGATCTCCGCCCCCCTCACTTCAAATTCGATCTGGAATCCGGGAGTTACGAGAACGAATCGACAGTGTGAAGAATACCCAGAAGATAACGGAGGCGATGAGACTCGTGGCGGCTGCTAGAGTTCGTCGAGCTCAAGATGCAGTCATAAAGTCTAGACCTTTCACTGAAACTCTAGTCGAGGTTCTCTACTCTATCAACCAATGTGCTCAATTGGAAGACATTGATTTCCCTCTGAGTATTGTTAGACCCGTGAAGAGAGTTGCTTTGGTTGTTGTCACTGGTGATAAAGGATTGTGTGGTGGTTTCAACAACGCAGTGATCAAGAAAGCTAATTTACGTGTCCAAGAGTTGAAGCAAAGAGGAATAGACTGTGTTGTGATTAGCGTTGGTAAGAAAGGGAATGCGTATTTCAGTCGGAGAGATGAAATCGAAGTGGATAAATGTATTGAAGGAGGAGGTGTTTTCCCAACGACTAAAGAAGCTCAGGTCATTGCAGATGATGTGTTTTCCTTGTTTGTGAGTGAAGAAGTGGATAAGGTTGAGCTAGTTTACACGAAGTTTGTGTCTTTGATAAAATCTGATCCTGTGATCCACACTCTGTTGCCGTTATCGATGAAAGGTGAGTCTTGTGATGTGAAAGGAGAGTGTGTTGATGCTATGGAGGATGAAATGTTTAGGTTGACGAGCAAAGATGGGAAGTTAGCAGTGGAAAGGACAAAGCTTGAAGTTGAGAAGCCTGACATCTCACCATTGATGCAGTTTGAGCAGGATCCTGTTCAGATTCTTGATGCAATGATGCCTTTGTATCTAAACAGTCAAATTCTGAGAGCACTGCAAGAGTCTTTGGCGAGTGAGCTCGCGTCGAGGATGAATGCTATGAGTAATGCTACTGACAATGCGGTTGAATTGAAGAAGAATCTAACAATGGCTTATAATCGAGCCAGACAGGCTAAGATCACTGGGGAGTTGCTGGAGATTGTCGCTGGAGCCGAGGCTCTTCGAGAATCTTAGTTAGAAACCACAGCTGTGTAACCATTTTTTTGTTTGTGTAATAAATGTCATGAAAGATTTAACAGGTCATGAGAAATTGATAAACATTTCCCTCACCAAATGTGACAAAAGACCTGTAATTACTGCCCATCTGTCTCGAATAAGAAGATAACAATAGTAGTAAGAAATAAGCAGGAGAAAGTAATGGCTAAAACAGGTCTCAAATACTTTGGTGGATTTCTAAAATCTAGACAGCACAAAAAAGAACAGGGAGAGGGAGAGAGAGAAGGAAACATCATTTGGTTGGTTCTTTAAATGAGCCTCATCAACAAAAAAAGGTTTTTTAACCACCTACGGAAAACGAAAATAAGAATGGTAAAAAAGAGAGCTTTGAATCGATCGCCATCATCTTCTTCTTCATCATCATTGTCGTCATCTTCTTCACTCGGGTAGAGTTTAGAGGTACTTGAAAAGGATACCACCGTGAGTGGCAAAGAAAGGAGCAAAGACGAGAGACTCCACAGCCATGAGCTTGATGAGGATGTTCAATGAAGGTCCTGAGGTATCCTTCAATGGGTCTCCAATTGTGTCTCCAATAACAGCTGCCTTGTGTGGCTCTGAACCCTTTGGCCCAAGGCTCTTTGCGTGTTCTGATACACCAGCCTGCAAACAAAACCACAATTCATAAGGATTTGATTCCATCTCTTCAAATGGGTTGATTTAAGCTTAAGAAAATTACAATACCTCAATGTACTTCTTGGCATTGTCCCAGGCGCCACCAGTGTTAGATGCTGATATGGCGATCTGTAGAATAAACGAGAGCATTTGATGAGCATATGTTTAAACAATATTTAATTGTTCATCAGAGAGCTTAGAAACTATTTTACCTGAACACCGGAGACAAGAGAGCCAGCAAGAACACCAGAAAGGGTCTCAACACCAAAGAAGAATCCAACAATGAGTGGTGTGAGCATGACAAGGCAACCAGGAGGAATCATTTCCTTGATGGAAGCATCGGTGGAGATCTTGACACAGGTGGCATAGTCGGGTTTTGCGGTACCTTCCATGAGTCCAGGGATGGTGTTGAACTGCCTGCGAACTTCTTCAACCATCTTAAGAGCTGCACTTCCCACACTCTTCATTGTCATGGCAGAGAACCAGTAAGGAAGCATGGCACCAACAAGCAGTCCAATGATAACCTTAGGGGTCAAAACATCTACGGTATGGATTCCTGCACGGCTCACAAAGGCACCAAACAGAGCCAAGGAGACAAGGGCAGCAGAACCGATAGCAAATCCCTGTGCACAACAACATAGAAATACAACATGTCATATTACATAACAAGCAAAGGCAACTTGGGGAATGATTAAGTCAAGCAGGCTCTATAAATGATTTATCAGATTGCAGAAAGAGGATTAGAAGGCCACGTACCTTTCCAATAGCAGCAGTGGTGTTTCCAGCGGCATCAAGAGCATCGGTTCTTTCACGGATGCGGTGGCTCATTCCAGCCATTTCAGCAATACCACCAGCATTGTCACTGATGGGACCGTAAGCATCAATTGCCAAACCAGTGGCAATGGTACTGAGCATACCAAGAGCAGCAACAGCAACACCATACATAGCAGCAAAGCTGAAGCTAACAAATATACTGATAGCAATTGCAAAGATTGGAATAATGACGGACTTGTAACCGAGAGCAAGTCCGAATATAACATTGGTGGCTGCTCCAGTTCTGCATGAATCTGCAACATCTTGGACGGGGCTGCAAGAAGACAGGGTCATTAGAGCTTGTTATGCTAACTGGAAAGAAGTTTTAGTAAATAAATACAGCTAAAGTAGCTTCTTACCTGTAGGCGTTGCTAGTGTAGTATTCGGTGACAAAACCAATAATGAGTCCAGCCCAAAGACCAACACAAACACACAGGAATAGCTGCCTGAAATCCAAAATTATCCCAGACATCAAAAAATTGTACAGAGAAGATTCAATCGTGAAATGTAGGGGAAAAAAAAAAAAAAACAGTAATCATACAGTAAGATCTTACCAGTTCTTCACAACTTTTTGTGTTCCAAAGTTGAAGATGGTAAAGGAGGAAGGCAAGCCAACCCATGACACAATAGCAATTCCAACAGTCATAATAATAGTAGAGATGATGAGCTGATTCTTCAATGCCGGCTCAATCTCCTTAACGACCTTAATCTCAAAGAAGTCAGTGGCAAAGAGAGTAGTGATCAAACAAACCAAGATTCCCATTGAACTGATGAGCAGTGGGTAGCACATGGCAGTGAAATCGTGGTTGATTCCAAAAGAAGAGATAGATGCAACAACAAGAGCAGCACATGATGCTTCAGCATATGACCCGAAGAGATCAGATCCCATACCAGCAATGTCACCAACATTGTCACCCACATTATCAGCAATAACCTGTAACATAACCAACGAAATAAAGTCACGACATGTAATTAAATAAATAAAAACAAAAGCACAGTGTTATCATACACAGTGAAGTGTTGTACTTACAGCTGGGTTCCTTGGATCGTCTTCTGGAATGTTCCTCTCAATTTTACCGACAAGGTCAGCGCCGACATCAGCTGCCTTAGTGTAGATCCCACCACCAACACGGCCAAAGAGAGCCATGGAAGATCCACCAAGCCCGTAACCAGTAATAGCCTCAAAAAGACCTTCCCAGTCATCTCCGTAATAGATCTTGAAGACATTGATGGTAATGTAAAGCACCAACAGACCACTGGCTGCAAGAAGGAATCCCATCACAGCACCAGACCTGAACGCAACAATGAAGGCCTTACCAACACCTTTCCTTGCTTCCAAGGTGGTTCTAGCATTGGCGTACGTGGCAATCTTCATTCCGAGGAAACCAGATAGAACAGAGGTAACAGCACCAAGCACGAAAGCAACAGTGCTGAAAGCTGCAGTAGCCAATGCAGGCTTGCAAGTTCTGGTGGTGTCGTAAGTGCAAGCCTTGTTCTCAGTGCTGAATCCCTCAACAGAGCCGAGGAAAACAAAGATAACACCAGCAAAGAAAATCATGAAGACACCAACATACTTGTACTCCGTGAACAAGAATGAAGTTGCACCTGTTCCCAAAAGACCAAACAGATCCAAAGATTATTCACTTTTTTACACATGAAGTTGCATCATTCACAGATAGCGCAGGAGACTATATTATTAATTCCACGACTTCTAACATTCCAAAACATCGTTATCATCATACCAAACAACCTCCAATCACAAACAGAGACAGATCTAAAAACAGAACTGTGAGATCTGAATAGAGTTGAACTAGATCTTACCTTCGGATATAGCAGTCTGAATCTCAGCGCACTTAGCGACAACACTCTGGTCATTAATACCTTCCTCTTCCTCGATTAGATAATCACCGTGACCATTCTTCCCACCGGAAGACGAAGCGCCGAGGTCAGTGGTAAGCTTCACACGAGAGACAACGTACCATTGGAAGAGCGAAAACAGGATTCCGACAACCGCACAAATAGGCACAAGGATCTCCGTCCAGAGCTCCGGGAGTAAAGCTGCCGCCACCATCTCTTCTCCGATAAGAGAAAAACAAAAAAACGAAAAAACAAAAAAAAACGAAAACAACACAAAGATGAGCGCTTCGCGCGAGAGAGACAACACAGAGAGAGAGAGGTGAAGAAGAAATGAGGCGTAACTCGGTGAGGATATCGTGTCGTTTTTATAACACTACCTCTCCTTCAGTCCTTCTTCTTGGATGCTCCAATCCAGAAATTAAGTTGGAATCCGGTACGGTCAGGTTCACCTTTTCTACGGTGCACCATCAGAACTCACTCGGTAGGCGCGTGTATAACGACGCTCGATATGTCTGAATTAGATCTGACTAGACTAGTGCTTTGTTCATCCTCATCTAAACCGGTAATTATCCGACACGTCAGCAAAGTAACGCTCGAGTTAATCGCGGTCGTTGATTTTAGGGCGAAAGACACCTACTACGTGGGCATCGATGAATTCGTGTCCGTCCGATCCTGCAAGTACATGATTAGTACTTTTATGTTTTCGTAGTCAATCACGTACACGGTAGAAATTAATTGTAGTTAGGTGAAGATTATTGTGATTATATATCCATGGTATATTCTGAGTATTTTTACCCAAATCGGGTGTATTCTGGTCTAAATGTATCATTAAATCCTAGTCATATTATTCAAGGAGGGATTTAATGTAAATTGTTGGCATATATAGATATGTAGACATATACAGTAGTTAAGAGCTTTGAATCCAATCAACACCAAAAAAAGAGCTTTGAATCCAATAAAATTAAGGGAAATTTAGTTAAGAACCTATATCATTTTTAATTTTTTGATGATTATGATAAATGGAAATTCGAAGTTAAAATATCAGTTACTAAAGAAAAAGAAATATAAAAAAACAACCATAGTGAAAAACTAACTTAACATTAAAAACGAAGTTCTAATCCTTTAATAAAACAGGCCATGTGTAATTAAACTGTTAATTTACGTAATCACTATGTAAAGGCTTGCTATTAGAAAAAAGAATTGACATAATGTAAATGCTTGTTCTTTAGTATTTTTCAAGGAGGGATTTAATGTACATTATTGTTGGCATGTGTAGATATAGTAATACTTGAGAGCTTTGAATCCAAAAAAAAAAAAAAAGTTTAGTACAGAGCCTAAATCATTTTGTAATTAATTTAATGATTATGATAAATTGAAATACATATTTTTAAAAATTAAGTGACTAAAGAAAAAAAAACCAGTGTGAAAAAACTAACTTAACTAACACTAAGAAGAAGAAAAAACTAAATTCTTTTATAAAACAGGCCATGTGAATTAAATCCTTTATTTACCTTATAGAAATGCTTACTATTAAAAATATTTTTTTTGTGTAAAGTAAATGCTTGTTATTTAATATTTATCTACAAAACAGAAAAAAGTAAAGGCTTGCTATAATTGTAAACGCTACTAGTATGATTTTTCTTTATTATGAAAAAAAAACCAATTATGTTGGATTTAGTTTGGAGATTTTGACTCTCTTTTTATGGTAAGAAAAGATAAACTACAACCGTGTGCGGATAAAATATCTAGGTGTCAGATAAGATTGAAAATATTCAAAGCAAAAAGAAAAAAACTTTTTTTTCAGTTTACGATCAAAATTAAATAAAGTGGTATTAAAAAAAACTCGTATTCGTCTAATAAGGATCAGATACTATAGTAGTAGTACAATCGCATATTTGATTCGACTTTGTACTAAAAAATAATGTTGGCAAATTGTTCGATAAAGATAAATCTCAATCTCATATTCTTCTTATTATACATGACAGGCCGTATAAGAAGATACAGTGCACCAAACCGTACGTAGATACCGCCACTGAGGAAGAGGAGGAGCACACATGACAAGGATTGGGAAATATATATAAAAACGAGTCGAGAGAGGCCTTTTCGAACGGCTGACGTATTTATGTGTATTGAATGGTGTGCATACCCTCCAATCGGATAAAATACCCCCTTTTTCCTATAATTATATAAAATCAATAAGAAAATATCTTAGCTTATTAAATTTTTATTTTTTGTGGAATTTTGATTTTCGTAGCATTAATTTTGTGTGTCTGTTCAGTGAGTAAGTAGTAGTGACCACTCATGCTTTATCTTTGTTCCCTTTTTGCAGGTTTTTTGCTAATGAATCTTGAAAAATAAAAACTATCATGTTTTTTGCAAAAATAAAATTATCTTTTTCATTCCTAGTTATGTGGCTGAACATACTTTGTATTATTATTATTATCTGTCAATCAAGATTTAGTTTCCATTTTAATTCCTAAACTATAGTAATATATATCATATACATGGCAAAGGTTATCCATCCAAGTGCAGCCTGCATGCTGAGTGTGTAAAACGTAGAATTCAAACCAAAACCCACCAAATTATATAATGGAAAAAAGTAAACAATTATTGAAATTAAAAAATGGATGACGAGAATGGTTTATGTTTACACGGTAACATTCCTTTCCATTGATACTACTTGTATATGAATTAGATAATCGTCGTTGTCGTAATTATAATGTTTTTTTTTTCCTAATAACTAAGGCTCACCAAAAATTTGGTGACATCTCAATGTTTTTATAGTTTATAAATTGACAATGCAATGAGACGTTGATAAGTATCAATCAAATATTTATATAAAAAAGGTTTTGATGAAGAAAAACTCAAAACACACTGTAGTAGTAAAAGATGTGTGTTGACATGTTTTGTTTCCTAACAGAAAAGATGATAACTTGTACCGATTGATTTCGGTTTACAGTCACGGACGAGTCATAAGCTGATAGGCCGCAAAGTTCAATGAGAGTTATATTTGATTTCTGTATAGCGGATATTTTTAATTACATGTGGGTGTCATTATTTTAATTCATTTAGTAGTAACAGTGTCAGATATTTATTGGTATGATCTTTATAAAATAGTTAAAAACGTATAAGATCTAGAATTTTGTTATTTTTGTATATTATTATATTTATATTTTAGGGAATGGGGGGATAGCAAAAGCAAATCTTGAAGGAGGGAAATCATGTGTTAATAAAGAAATGGAAATGTAATCACTAATTTATCTTGTTGAAGAGAGAGAGAGAGAGAGAGAGAG